CTTATGAAAAAAGGAAGCCCGAGCCAATCGGGGGTGGGGGAAGGAGAAAAAGAAAAGGGAAGGATCGAAAGAGACACCACTTGAGCGAAGCCACAAACTCCGATCTGCGCTCTAGGTTGTCATTTTTGCTCTCCCCCCTCCCCCCTCCCCGCCCTTTCCCCTTCCCCCCTCTCCGCGTTTCTTCTCTTTGAAAAGCTTGGCCGAGCTGAGTCCGTCCCTTAGTTGCAAAGTGTTCTCCGCCGGGTGCAGCCTGCACCCGCCGCGCCTGGGTGCCCCTACCCCTGGGCTCACCTTCCTCATTTGTTCCCTCTTTTTAATCCGCAGCACCCCTGCTACCCCGCGCGCCCCTCGCCTCCTCCCCTCTTTCGTTTCTTTTTTCGGGTGTGTGTGTGTGTCAGGGGAGAAGGTGGTAGTGGCTGTAGTGATGCGAGGATTTGAGAACCGCAGGGGGCTTACAAATATGTTTAGGATCACCCTTTCCGAAGTATTTGCCCATACAGCCGAAATGAAATTGCCTCTAGTAGTTTCGGAGACCGTACCAGCAAGGATGATCTTTTTGTTCTTGTGTGCCTGTGTGCGTGTATTTGAGGCAATATCCTGTCACTTGGAGCTTTCCTGTTGTCTACTTTCTTTTCAGAATTACTAACCCTGCTTGGCTCCCGAGTTTATTATTATTATTATTATGTGTTTCGGTGAAATCTGCCAAAGAACAACTGTACAAACACGGCTAGATACATTTATTTATTTTGACAGGGGACTTGGGGAGGGGAGGAGATTAGTCACGGGGGAAGGGGAGCTCGAGGGTGGGAAGGGTTGAGAGGCGGTTGCCAGATCCTCGTCCGGAGCCCAGCACACTTGTGCTTTTTGCAAGCGCTACAACTGCGGTGAATTAGTATTTCCATACAGTGCCAGTTTCAATATGGCGGGCCGAGGTGTCTTCAGAATTGAAAATAAAGGTTTTGAGGTGGGAAAAAACCAAACCGGAGTTACCACCCCTTCGTTTTGACACTCTTTGGTTACCCCAGGAGCTACTTTAGCGAATTAAATGGGAAAAGAGACAAAGAGAGAGCTGCCCTAGTTTTTTTTTCGGTGGCAAGAGTGTGTGTTTGTGTAAAGTCCATTGCTAGAGGGGAAAAGGGTGGAGAGGTGGTGGGAGGAGGGGTACTGGTGGCCCTGACTAGGGCATCCAAGCTCAACTGCTCTGTGGGCCTATAGGTTAGTGTGTGTGGTTGCGTGTGCAATTGGGGGGAGTCAAGGAGACCCGCCCCGTATATGTGGATCAGTCTTAGAACCAGCTCCTGCCATGATTTGATGTGACAAACTGCTGACACGTGGTGAAAAATACATGAGGGCAGAGGTAATCATTTATTTCGGCTTTCTCTGAGATCAGTTCTTTCTCCCGCTCTGTGTGCTGGATCCTTTGCTAGTAAAGCCCCAAGTAGATGGAGCGAGGAGACGTTTATGAAAAGGGCGAACTGTCGCCGGCATTCAGTGCACTCCAGCACGCGCCTGTGGGGCTTGGTTTGTGTGTTGTGTGCTGGCGTGCTGTACCGAACGTTGGGTGCCTGCTTCACTCCGCTCCGCCGCGGGCTGGGAAGTGGTGGGGAGGCGCGCTGCCTAAGGAACTGGGTGGGGCTGGGGCAGCACTGGAGGGCAGGAGAGGTGAGGTCTCCAGGACCTTGCCAGAGAGGCCTCGAGGTGCGGAGATAGGTGTCCCCGTTACTTTTCCGAGTTGCGCTCTAGAGAGAAGATGGAGGGTGGGGAAGGCGATCTTGGAGGAAAGTGCCCTTCTCGGGTCAGACCCCAAGAAAGGTGGGGCAGAGTGAGGCATTCGCTGGCAGTGGCCGGCGAGCAGGTGGAGACTGTTAGCTAACTTCTGGGATGGGGTGGGGGGCGAGGAGTGGAGTTTGCGGGCAGAATGGAGTCAGTGAAGAGCTGGAGGGACCAGGAGCACGCACACCCTAGCTCCGCAACCCACGGAAAGTCGGATAGTAGCGTCGCTGGAGACTCGGGTCTCCGACAGGGGTCGCCCGTGGCCAAGCCGCGGGCGCATAGCGGAGTTCGCCCGGCAGTGTCAGCGGGAGACTTGGGGGCTGCGGTGGCTATCGGGTAAGTCCCCAAGGGGTTGGCGAGTTTGGCGGACCAGATCACCCAACCGGGAAGTTTCCCGAGAGGTTTTGAAATCAGGCGCAAAATGCTGCGGTCCAGGTTTGCAATAACTTGGCCAGTGGGCATTTGCCTGGGGTCCTGAAGGGGAGAGATCTATAGGGTCTTAAAGGGGCGCAGTGTTGGCTGAAGGGC